GTTTTAGAAGCTTTGCACAAGCCTTTTTTCTTCATTCACAGAACTGGAGTCAAATGTTACACAATCTTCTCTCCACGATGGAAACCATTTATCCACTCTGTCCCATCATGGACTGTTCTCCTTTGTTCTTCAGTAGAGTAGCAGAGTGTGTTTCTTGAACTGTAGTGAATGTGTGCATACATTCATCTTGGCCAGCTCATTACAGTTTGTTGTATGCGTTAAATGTATTATTTACTCAGCAAAGTACACTTATACTACAACAACCAAGCTGGAGAAATTCTCAAACTCAAGTCGTTTGCAATTTGTAGGCTATTTAAGACCAGCTGTACTAAAATTCACATTTTTATTGTCAGTTCTCAACATTTTCCACGTATAAACCGTGCCATATCTTCTAAGGGCATAGTGTATATATATTATCTTCTGGCAAAACAAGGTCCTGTTAATTGGTTAACCTGACATCCTGCAAGTCATATGGGAACATAGTCTTTACTTATCCTATTGGGAATACATAACTTTTTGATATAAATAGTGACATAAGCATTTTGTTCTAACTTTGTTTGCTCTTGATTGTCATATGTTGGTATATGTGTAAAATACGAGGTGATAAGCTTTTTCTTGTAGATTGGGCACTCTGGGGATTGGAAGTGATTATGCCCCATTTCTGCATTATCTGGGAATAACGTGCATGGATTTGGCCTACACTTATGACACGGTAAATAAACATTTTAAATGTCAACGTTTTAATTATAAGTCATACCTGGGTCATACCTATGCGGGACTTTGAGTCTCAGAGAATAAACCTCAGCAATACAGTTTTTGGGCAGTTGGTATTTTTTTTAGAAAGTATATATGAGACATATTTCACTTGCATATTCATCCAGAACTACTGTTCTTCTTTGTATTCCAATAACCAAAATCTCAATCATTTCAGTAAAGATTGCTGATTAAAGATGTGGCTTGGCTGAAAAAGCTTGACAATGTGCATAGCTAGACACCTTCAGATACAAAGAGAAAATTCCTACAGATAATACAACTAGAATCCTACAGATAAGACAGATAGAACCCTACAGATAATACAGATAGAACCCTTCAGATAGTACAGCAAGAATCCTAGAGCTAATAGAGATAGAACCCTGCTGATAGTACAACTAGTACCCTGCAGATAATACAGCAAGAACCCTGCAGATAATAGAGCTAGAATCCTACAGCTAATAGAGCTAGAACCCTGCAGATAATACAGATAGAACTCTGCAGATAATACAGCAAGAATCCTACAGCTAATAGAGCTAGAACCATGCTGATACTACAACTAGTACCCTGCAGATAATACAGCAAGAACCCTGCAGATAATACAACTAGAACCATGCAGATAATACAGCTAGAACCATGCAGATAATACAGCTAGAACCATGCAGATAATACAGCTAGAACCCTGCAGATAATTACAGCTAGAATCCTACAGATAATACAACTAGTACCCTGCAGATAATACAGCTAGAACCATGCAGATAATACAGCTAGAACCCTACAGATAATACAGCTAGAACCCTGCAGATAATACAACTAGAATTATACAGCTAATAGAGCTACAACCCTGCAGATAATACAGCTAGACTACTACAGATAATACAGCTAGAACCCTGCAGATAATACAGCTAGAACCATGCAGATAATACAGCTAGTATCCTACAGATAAAACAACTAGTACCCTGCAGATAATACAGCTAGAATTCTACAGCTAATAGAGCTAGAACCCTGCAGATAATACAGCTATAACCCTGCAGATAATACAACTAGAACCATGCAGATAATACAGCTAGAATCCTACAGATAATACAACTAGTACCCTGCAGATAATACAGCTAGAATCCTACAGCTAATAGAGCTAGTACCCTGCAGATAATACAGCTAGAACTCTGCAGATAATACAACTAGAACCATGCAGATAATACAGCTAGAACCATGCAGATAGTACAGCTAGAACCCTACAGATAATACAGCTAGAACCCTGCAGATAATACAACTAGAACCATGCAGATAATACAACTAGAACCATGCAGATAATACAGCTAGAACCATGCATATAATACAGCTAGAACCCTACAGATAATACAGCTAGAACCCGACAGATAATACAGCTAGAATCCTACAGCTAATAGAGCTAGAACCCTGCAGATAATACAGATAGAACTCTGCAGATAATACAGCAAGAATCCTACAGCTAATAGAGCTAGAACCATGCTGATACTACAACTAGTACCCTGCAGATAATACAGCAAGAACCCTGCAGATAATACAACTAGAACCATGCAGATAATACAGCTAGAACCATGCAGATAATACAGCTAGAACCATGCAGATAATACAGCTAGAACCCTGCAGATAATTACAGCTAGAATCCTACAGATAATACAACTAGTACCCTGCAGATAATACAGCTAGAACCATGCAGATAATACAGCTAGAACCATGCAGATAATACAGCTAGAACCCTACAGATAATACAGCTAGAACCCTGCAGATAATACAACTAGAATTATACAGCTAATAGAGCTACAACCCTGCAGATAATACAGCTAGACTACTACAGATAATACAGCTAGAACCCTGCAGATAATACAGCTAGAACCATGCAGATAATACAGCTAGTATCCTACAGATAAAACAACTAGTACCCTGCAGATAATACAGCTAGAATTCTACAGCTAATAGAGCTAGAACCCTGCAGATAATACAGCTATAACCCTGCAGATAATACAACTAGAACCATGCAGATAATACAGCTAGAATCCTACAGATAATACAACTAGTACCCTGCAGATAATACAGCTAGAATCCTACAGCTAATAGAGCTAGTACCCTGCAGATAATACAGCTAGAACTCTGCAGATAATACAACTAGAACCATGCAGATAATACAGCTAGAACCATGCATATAATACAGCTAGAACCCTACAGATAATACAGCTAGAACCCGACAGATAATACAGCTAGAATCCTACAGCTAATAGAGCTAGAACCCTGCAGATAATACAGCTAGAACTCTGCAGATAATACAACTAGAACCATGCAGATAATACAGCTAGAACCATGCAGATAGTACAGCTAGAACCCTACAGATAATACAGCTAGAACCCTGCAGATAATACAACTAGAACCATGCAGATAATACAACTAGAACCATGCAGATAATACAGCTAGAACCATGCATATAATACAGCTAGAACCCTACAGATAATACAGCTAGAACCCGACAGATAATACAGCTAGAATCCTACAGCTAATAGAGCTAGAACCCTGCAGATAATACAGCTAGAACTCTGCAGATAATACAACTAGAACCATGCAGATAATACAGCTAGAACCATGCAGATAGTACAGCTAGAACCCTACAGATAATACAGCTAGAACCCTGCAGATAATACAACTAGAACCCTGCAGATAATACAGCTAGAATCCTACAGCTAATAGAGCTAGAACCCTGCAGATAATACAGCTAGAATCCTGCAGATAATACAGCTAGAATCCTAGAGCTAATAGAGCTAGAACCCTGCAGATAATACAATTAGAACCCTGCAGATAATACAGCTAGACTACTACAAATAATACAGCTAGAACCCTGCAGATAATACAGTTAGACTACTACAGATAATAGAGCTAGAACAATGCAGATAATACAGCTAGACTACAACAGATAATGCAGCTAGAACCCTACAGATAACACAGATAGAACTCTTCAGATAATACAATACAGGGAGTGCAGAATTATTAGGCAAGTTGTATTTTTGAGGATTAATTTTATTATTGAACAACAACCATGTTCTCAATGAACCCAAAAAACTCATTAATATCAAAGCTGAATATTTTTGGAAGTAGTTTTTAGTTTGTTTTTAGTTATAGCTATGTTAGGGGGATATCTGTGTGTGCAGGTGACTATTACTGTGCATAATTATTAGGCAACTTAACAAAAAACAAATATATACCCATTTCAATTATTTATTATTACCAGTGAAACCAATATAACATCTCAACATTCACAAATATACATTTCTGACATTCAAAAACAAAACAAAAACAAATCAGTGACCAATATAGCCACCTTTCTTTGCAAGGACACTCAAAAGCCTGCCATCCATGGATTCTGTCAGTGTTTTGATCTGTTCACCATCAACATTGCGTGCAGCAGCAACCACAGCCTCCCAGACACTGTTCAGAGAGGTGTACTGTTTTCCCTCCTTGTAAATCTCACATTTGATGATGGACCACAGGTTCTCAATGGGGTTCAGATCAGGTGAACAAGGAGGCCATGTCATTAGATTTTCTTCTTTTATACCCTTTCTTGCCAGCCACGCTGTGGAGTACTTGGACGCGTGTGATGGAGCATTGTCCTGCATGAAAATCATGTTTTTCTTGAAGGATGCAGACTTCTTCCTGTACCACTGCTTGAAGAAGGTGTCTTCCAGGAACTGTCAGTAGGACTGGGAGTTGAGCTTGACTCCATCCTCAACCCGAAAAGGCCCCACAAGCTCATCTTTGATGATACCAGCCCAAACCAGTACTCCACCTCCACCTTGCTGGCGCCTGAGTCGGACTGGAGCTCTCTGCCCTTTACCAATCCAGCCACGGGCCCATCCATCTGGCCCATCAAGACTCACTCTCATTTCATCAGTCCATAAAACCTTAGAAAAATCAGTCTTGAGATATTTCTTGGCCCAGTCTTGACGTTTCAGCTTGTGTGTCTTGTTCAGTGGTGGTCGTCTTTCAGCCTTTCTTACCTTGGCCATGTCTCTGAGTATTGCACACCTTGTGCTTTTGGGCACTCCAGTGATGTTGCAGCTCTGAAATATGGCCAAACTGGTGGCAAGTGGCATCGTGGCAGCTGCACGCTTGACTTTTCTCAGTTCATGGGCAGTTATTTTGCGCCTTGGTTTTTCCACACGCTTCTTGCGACCCTGTTGACTATTTTGAATGAAACGCTTGATTGTTCGATGATCACGCTTCAGAAGCTTTGCAATTTTAAGAGTGCTGCATCCCTCTGCAAGATATCTCACTATTTTTGACTTTTCTGAGCCTGTCAAGTCCTTCTTTTGACCCATTTTGCCAAAGGAAAGGAAGTTGCCTAATAATTATGCACACCTGATATAGGGTGTTGATGTCATTAGACCACACCCCTTCTCATTACAGAGATGCACATCACCTAATATGCTTAATTGGTAGTAGGCTTTCGAGCCTATACAGCTTGGAGTAAGACAACATGCATAAAGAGGATGATGTGGTCAAAATACTCATTTGCCTAATAATTCTGCACTCCCTGTATAACTCTGTAGACCGTTTGGCTATAAACTTTATTAATCTGCATATGGCATGGGTAGAAAATTGTAAATAATATTTATATTATGGCTAGAAATCAGCAGATAGCACAGGTAGGCCACTACAGATAATAAAGTTTGAACCATATACCTTTAAAGCTAGAATCCTACTGATAGTACATATATAACCATACAGAAACTAAGGCACTTTCGTATGATAAGTCTAGTACTGTACAGATGTAAGGATAAAACTATGCAGATAATATAGCAAGAGCCCTGCAGATAGTGTACCTAGAACTGTGCAGATGATACAGCTAGAATTCTGCAGATGGTGTACCTAGAACTGTGCAGGTGATACAGTTAGAACCCTGCAGATGGTATACCTAGCACTGAGCGGGTGATACAGTTAGAACCCTGCAGATGGTATACCTAGCACTGTGCAGGTGATACAGTTAGAGCCCTGCAGATGGTATACCTAGAATTATGCAAATGATACACCTAGAACCCTGCAGATGGTAAACTTAGAACTGTGCAGATGACACATCTAAAATCCTGCAGACGGTATATCTAGAACTGTGCAGGTGATACAGTTAGAAACATGCAGATGGTATACTTGGAACTGTGCACATGATACAGTTAGAAACCTGCAGATGGTATACCTAGAACTGTGCAGGTGATACAGTTAGAATCATGCAGATAGTATACTTGGAACTGTGCACATGATACAGTTAGAAACCTGCAGATGGTATACCTAGAACTGTGCAGATGATACAGTTAGAAACCTGCAGATGGTATACCTAGAACTGTGCACATGATACAGTTAGAAATCTGCAGATGCTATACCTAGAACCATGCAGATGATATCGTTAGAACCCTGCAGATGGTATACCTAGAACTGTGCAGGTGATACAGTTAGAATCATGCAGATAGTATACTTGGAACTGTGCACATGATACAGTTAGAAACCTGCAGATGGTATACCTAGAACTGTGCAGATGATACAGTTAGAAACCTGCAGATGGTATACCTAGAACTGTGCACATGATACAGTTAGAAATCTGCAGATGCTATACCTAGAACCATGCAGATGATATTGTTAGAACCCTGCAGATGGTATACCTAGCACTGTGCAGAATCCTGCAGATGGAGTGTGGAGATAGTAGACAGTTTTACTTTATGAAGTCATTGGAACGTGTCAGTGGTAGCCGGGATTATTCTTAGTGTAAATGGTGGTCAGTGTACCAAATGCAGTGCCAACTAGATTTTATCTCTTACTGTAACTCACGATGGACTAATACTATCCAAAGGTATTCCTTCATGAATGTATATATGTTTAGTATTATCTTATCTAGCTATACGTGAATGACTGTAAATGCAGAAAGCTATGTTACATAATCTCTACATACCTAAGAACATTTCTTCAACATGATTCCACCCTATTATTTTCTTTGCTCTTTGTTATTCAACGTCCTTTGCTCATTTAAGGGGATTTGTCACTTCTATGGCATTTACATCATTGTATAAAATGCTGTAAATCACCTATAACTTGTGTAAACTTTATTTTTTATACGATGCTCTTTTTTTAAAATGTCTATTCAAGATGTAGCAAATGACATCATGATCCCGTTCAGACAGGACAAAGTCAGGGCACACATTGCAAATGAGGAGCAGAAATAGAACTGGTTTAATTTCTCGTCGTCTCTGTATGTTTTGTCTATGCCTATTGCCAGGTGTAAAGGTCAGAATTTACAATGAATGACAGGGAGCTCTGAGGGAGACACCCTGGTACCGGAGATAAAAAGGTGTGGATTTCTATATTTAATTTTAATTGTCAGGTGTTACACCTCACGAATGAATAATTGTATAAAAGTATCATGAAAATTAAACTTACAGTGTAATTCACTACAGTGAGAATTGGTAGAAATTCACAGTGAATTCAAAGATAATTTAAAATTTAAGACCAAAACACCAAAACGTGAAGCGTAGCTGACTGGAGAATGATTCAAGTTTGTTTATTTGGGCCAAAAATGTTAAACTCCCATTGAATTCCCAACACTTGTCACTTTACTGACTAGCCCTGATAATATTTAAAATCCCCTTTAAGTTGCATAGCTAGGTAAAATCAGCTTCATTGGTTCTCAGCGCGTGCCAGCTATTAATCCGTGCAAACCACACTTGATTTAAACTCTCACTAGACAGGACAGACACAGGAGACTTACAATAAGTAATGCCACAAGTTGTTCAAAGTATACACCATCTGGACCCTGTGCAGCACAAATGCCAAAAATGAACAATGAGGTATATTGTTTTTTTGTTAGGCAGTTCCACAAATATTAAAATGTAAAAAATATATATAAAAAAAGTCTATGGGGGTATTATTAATATAAGGGGGGTTTTAAACATTCCTATGCCCCACCTCCCATATGGCAAGTAGGGACCTATAAACAATTTTTTTTTAAAATAGTGACTGGGCATTGGGACTGTAATATAAAGTGGAGGCCATAGTCCCCCCTACCTGTGGCATTGTTGGGTTGATCTGTGGCAAGCGGGTGTGGGTTAATATACTTTATGTGTGTCCCCCTGCCCCTACCTGTATCCCCCCCAGTTAAAAGGCATGGAGGGGACTGTTTTATTTTTTGCGGTGCATGGGAAGGTGGCTGACACTTGCTAGTTTTAAATATTTAGTAGATATATCTCCACCTACCCCACACGGTGGGGGCAAAGAGAGATTTAAATACTCCCTTATTGTAATATGGGGATTTTATTGATGCCCATAAGCTTTTTAATTATCTATATTTTTACTTTTTTTTTAATGTGGCAGCTTGCTAGCAAGCACATGGAAAGCCCTGGCTGTGCTGAGGTTTTTGTTTTGTTTTTTAACTGTTTGACAGCTGGCAGCACTAGCAACACGGTACTTGCAAAATTTTGTTAAAACTGGTGCTTTTTGAATCTTCCATATCCTATACTCTGCATGGGGTTTGGATGCGAAAGTCCCAATTTTAATCCAGACAACAAAAGCATCTGGGCGATTGCTGCAAATCTGGATTTGGCTTGGCTTTAATAAGACTGCATTCAGTGTTTAGTGAATAGCCCAGAATGTCTCTACAGTTCTGCTATTAGTCGTTGGAAACTCTGCTGGTATATACAGTATCAAGTCATGAGATGGATACAGGTCCACATTTAACTCATCTCCCAGCAGCTTGAGGTAAACTGTAGGTCCAACAATTCTCAAGATGAAGTGAGTAGACTTCAAATTGTTACACTCAGGTGAAATTCACCAACGTTTTTGTGAGTAGAAGTCACATTGAAGTGTTAAAGAATTGAGGAAGGAAGAGGAACAATGGGGAGATTCATTTTTTTAGACAAAGTGTGGTAATTCCAAGGCCATCATAAGTATGCCCCTTCTCGGTCTCTCTGCTCTGTCACACCCGAACGACCAACTCACGCTTGCAGGACTTCTCGCGGGCGTCTCTCTTCCTATGGAATCGAATACCTACCACCGTCAGAATCTCCCCTAGTCTTCAACCATTTAAGAAGTGCCTTAAAACCCATCCCTTCAGTAAAGTTTAAAGCCTTTCCAGAGTAACCTCTACCTCACATACCTGTCTCTTACTCTCTCCAAAAGAGCAGCACTCTACTCTCTCCTCCAGCTCATCCTCACTCCACCTTGTTTGATTGCTACCTCCTGTCCTGTTGTGTTTTACACCCCACCTCCTATAGATTGTAAGCTCGTTTGAGCAGGGTCCTCTTGTTGTTCCTGTACCATTTTGTAATGGTCTCATTTATTGTTAAATCTCCCCTTACTATAATATTGTAAAGTGCTACGGAATTTGTTGGCGCTATATAAATGGCAATAATAATAATCCTTGCAAAGGGAAATACTGTCTGTACTAAAACAGGCTACATTTTTTACAGACTATTTAGATATCAATGAATTCTATCTACTGCTTAGAAAAAAAACTACAACAGGAAGGGCATCTAAAAACCACATTTACAATTCATTACAGTTAGACGTAAACATAATCAGCACCATGGACAAGGGGGTATTTATTAAAACTTTATATAATAAGACACGTGTAGTTCTGACCGCTGCCTTTAAAAAGTATTTTGTTGCGAAGCATTAATGTAATATTTTAAAGCTAATTCTGGTTTTCTCTTTTTGAAAAAGAAAAAAACGTCGGCCCGGATATATCCTGCTTATCATACAGCTTTTGACACATTTGATTACGCATCTAAATATATTGATCCAGGTAATGGCAATTGAACACACTGTATATATACACACAATGAAAGACCATGTGTGAACAAACATTAGCCTCAAATCAGGTTTTAATCAATGCGCAGTTCCAAATGGTAACCAATTTAGACATCCATGGAGCAGCGACTGCCAAACAGATGCTTTTGATATGCATCTCTGTTACTTCACGTCAGTGTCATTTCAGCTCTGTTGACTGGGGCAGTCAAGCTTAGGATTCTAGGAGTTAGTGTGAGGATCTATAATTGTAGCAGTTATAGTTAATCGTCAGGTACGGAAGCTTATTGTTAGACTATTGGTTAAGGGAGGGAGTTAGGATTATAAGACTTGTTTTAGATATAGGGTTGTGGAAGTTAATTGTTAGACCATGAGTTATAGGAAGTTAGGATTATAAGACAAATTTTTGATGTAGGGTAGTGGAAGTCAGCAAGTTTTGCTCTTCAGAGGCGGAGTTTGCAAGAAGCACAATACTGACATAGGCAGAGACGGACCCAATGCAAACCATGTGACTGTCTAACAGAGGTGTATTTGCAGTATGCTAGAAGATAGGCATACGCCTCTGGTACACACTAGCCCACATTCTGTCCATACACACTCCCCTAACGTGGAGACAATATAAACTCACTATTAAAATAAGTAATAAAAATATGGTGCTTAGTAACATACATTCTGTATTTCTGGTTTAAAATACTGATATTGGTATACACACACAGGATAGAATCATGCAGGGGATGTCTTGGCTTCTGCATCGCATGGGCCCCACAGTGCTCATGTTGATGCTGAGCACCATTCTGGCATCTTTTACACAGCGGAACACTCCATCTTTCATATATTATATGTGCGAAAATTATCACGTATTTTTTCTCACTGCTCCAATCCTCATCCATTCAGCAACATCGATCACATACCTTTTGCTGTCAGAATTGATGCAAGTGAGTAGCAGCAGCTGTGGGGACATTTAAAGACACTCAGATCACTCCTATTTTGACAAGTCATGGTTTCAGTTACCCAAAAGTGCGTTATATAGTTATCTGGTGTGTATTTTCTGGTTTTAGACTTGGCTGTATTTTGACTTATTTGATCTCTAGAATGCTAGTTGGCTTTGTCTTCTCCGTTATTCGTATGTCTGTACTCTTTGATCTAAGCTTGCCCCTCTCTATTCTTTCTGTGTTGACAAATGGTGTTCTATGTTATTTCACTTTAAGCCCTGCTGCCCTAAAGACCGGTATTAACTAGTATTTCCTTAGTGTAGGATACTCTGTGCTCTAGGTGTTTGGGTAGCCCTGTGTTAACAGGTGTACCGATGGTACAACTTAAAGGAACACTATAGGATCAGGAATACACATTAGTGTTCCTTTAAAAGCACTATTTAGGTGGCTGGCCTCCCCTTTAATAGGGTTAAAAACTCACCTTTATTCCAGGGCTACCCGGGCCTGCCAGTGCTGGCACCGCGCTGTAGGCTAATGCGCACACGCTTCAAAAGACTGCTCTGTGCCAATCAGCATCTCCTCATAGAGATGAATTGAATCAATGCTGCTCTATGAGGAATGTTCAGCATCTCCATGCAGAGGGTGGAGACACTGAATGTCAGTGCTGCACGTTCTGAGTGACTGCCACTGGAGGCAGTAATGTAAACAATGCCTTTTCTCTGAAAAGGCGGAGTTTACATGGAAATGCCTGCATGGACAGGCTATAGACACCAGAACTACTAACTACATTAAGCTGTTGTTCTTCTGGTGACCATAGTGTCCTTTCAATAGAGAAATTGCCTGTCTCCTCGTAACATGTAAAAAAAACTGCATAACATTTCAAACATTGTATATAAAATAAGTATGAGATAAAATAGTTTTGAATATAGATTGCTTTTAGGAATACTTAGAAAATAAAATTGTAATGTAAATTAACAGTTTTATATTTTCATGTAAATGTTTATCCTTTACAAAAATATTGGAGGAAAGGGGATAAAATGATTTAGATCTTATATGAAGTCATTTAATTTGTAATATTTTAGACTTGGTATGAAATATTAGCATAGAAGCATAAATATATTTTCAGCCATGGGTATTTTTAAGAAACCTGATGGGATTTATAGTTCTGCTGTTTCACAACAATGGGAGGAGGCAGTGTGGTGGAGAAGTTGCCTTTTGAATAGCAACTGCAGAGATGCAGAGGAACATAATGGGATTATGGCAGAGTAAGAATTAGTATTGCACTATGGGGGTAGATACATGGGGTTTTATGGGATGAATTTAGTTTCATTTGTAATGTTAAATTACAGTTAGTATGCGTATACCCTTAGTTGATAATAATGGGGTAATGCCAGACTCCTCTTAATAATAAATTTTGTACTCTAGGTTTTACCAGTCACCAAACGGTTGCTCGCACGGCAGGTAATGTCTTGCTACGACTGTCCGACAGCATTATCCTTCCTCTCGGGGCTAGGGATTATGTGGAACTTCTAGAAAACTACTACAATGAAGCAGAGAAACAGTTCCTGGTAAATCTCAACCTGCACAAGATATCCCTAGGTAGGTGTCTGTAAGGTACGGCTCAATGGTAGGTGAAATCTGATATCTCTGAGCAATACAATAGTTTACTTCTTGGCTCAAAGCTGGTGTAATGACATGTTTGCATACCCACTTTTTTGAGGCCTGGCACTCTTGTGGGTGGGTGTTCAGCTTGCACTTAGAAGAAGTGGGTGTTGTGTATGTTGTGTATTGTGAATCTTATTTAACTTGTAATTCCGTGTTTCTTTAGAACCATTGAAAACTGCTATAAACAGATATAAGACGGCATCAGAGACTTTGGAAGAAACTATTCAAAACCTCAAGGAGACTGATGAAACGTGAGTAGTGTGTGAACTATACTAAGAAATCAGCTTGTTTTTCATATCCCTACCAATCTCCTGGACCTTAATCTAGAACACCATACTCACATACATGGCCCAAATTCTCCATACATTTTTACCCCACACATCAACACAAACAGACCCCCAACACAACACCACAAACAGTCTCCTCAACACAGTACCACAAACAGTCTACTCAACACAGTACCACAAACAGTCTACTCAACACATAACCACTAACATCTTTCCCAACACAGTACCACATACAGTCTCCTTAACATCACCACACACAGCCTCCCAAAAAAAAAACATCACCACAAACGGCTTCCCTAACACAGTAAGACAAACAGTCTCTCCCACACATCACAATAAACAGCCTCCCCAGCACAGTACCACAAACAGCCTCCCCTACACTTAACTACAAACAATCTTCTCAACACAGTACTACAAACAATTTTACACACAAACCACCACAATTGTAATACAAGAAGCCTGTACGCATATTACTATAAAAGCCCATGATATATGTGACACCATCTCTGTTCTTAGCTAACTGAAATGTTAAATATATTAAGAATTCTAGAAAAAAAGGTATAAACAATATACCAGCAAGTGGAGCGCTATATTGAATATATATATAAATAATGAGGGGGTATACTCACCCCTCCAACATAGTGATACAATGTGTCCAAATGTACATACAAAGTAAAACAACTAAAAGAGAGAATATAGTGCAGATGGTTTACAAAAAATAAAAAAATGAATAATGGTAGCAATTGGTTGAAACCACTCACGTGGGTTGGAGCCTATAAGCTATTGGCTCCGTAAGTGACTCCTTCTTGCTCTTGAGGCAGCAACACACCCCTTTATCCCAAAACGATATTCTCCCGAAGATATGGAACAAACAGAGAGAGAGAACCTCATAGGTGGTATTGTACAGATGGTGTATACAATATAGTGAGATAGTAATAGATATGCTCACCTTAGACAGAGCCTTGAATTCCTGGCTCTGAGGTTTGTTGGCAATGTGCTAATTTATTGGGATAGCATTCCCCACATGGTGTTTGGACTTTTATACTTGGACTTTCCATCATTTAGCTTATGTGCTTTTGAGAAGTCTAAATATTGTTTTTATTATTATTTTTTTATCTCTACAATAAATTGTTATTTTTTTATATATTAGTCCATATAGTCCTTTCTAGCCTCCAGGAACACCATGTGGGGAATGCTATCCCAATAAATTAGCACATTGCCAACAAACCTCAGAGCCAGGAATTCAAGGCTCTGTCTAAGGTGAGCATATCTATTACTATCTCACTATATTGTATACACCATCTGTACAATACCACCTATGAGGTTCTCTCTCTCTGTTTGTTCCATATCTTCGGGAGAATATCGTTTGGGATAAAGGGGTGTGTTGCTGCCTCAAGAGCAAGAAGGAGTCACTTACGGAGCCAATAGCTTATAGGCTCCAACCCACGTGAGTGGTTTCAACCAATTGCTACCATTATTCATTTTTTATTTTTTGTAAACCATCTGCACTATATTCTCTCTTTTTGTTGTTTTACTTTGTATGTACATTTGGACACATTGTATCACTATGTTGGAGGGGTGAGTATACCCCCTCATTATTTATATATATATTCAATATAGCGCTCCACTTGCTGGTATATTGTTTATACCTTTTTTTCTTGTATTTTGCATTTTCTTGTATTTTGCACTTCATTGTGGATTAAGGTATTCCACTTTTTGTGTTGAGCTGCTTTTATTCAGGCACTTTAGTATATCACTCACTATCTCAGTAAGGGATAGTTTTTGTTTTCTTTGTGTGTAAAGAAAAACAGACCTAGCCTGTGGCTCGGTGGTCCAAATTCATCTTTTCTGATGAGAGCAACTTTTGCATCTCATTGGGAAACCAAGGACCCAGAGTTTGGAGGAAGAATTGAGAGGCACACACTGCAAGATGCTTGAAGTCCAGTGTGATCTTTCCACAGTCTGTGTTGATTTGGGGAGCCATGCCATCTGCTGGTGTTGGTCCACTGTGCTTCATTAGGTGCAGGGTCAACGCAGCCATCTACCAGGAGATTTTTGAGCACTTTCTTTCGCAGAGGAGCTTTATGGGGATGCTGACTTCATTTTCCAGCAGGACTTGGCACCTGTCCACACTGCCAAAAGCACCAAAGCCTGGTACAATGACCGTGGGATTACTGTGCTTGATTGGTCAGCAAACTCGCCTGACCTGACCCTCATAGAGAATCTATGGGGTATTGCCAAGAGAAAGATGAGAGACATGAGACCTAACAATGTAGAAGAGCTGAAGGCCGCTATTGAAGCATCCTGGTCTTCCATAACACTTCAGCAGTGCCACAGGCTGATAGCTTCCATGCCATGTCGCATTGAGGCAGTAATTGCTGCAAAAGGGGCCCAAACCAAGTACTGAGTTCATATGCATGCTTATACTTTTCAGAGGTCCGATATTGTTCTATGTACATTCCTTGTTTTATTGATTGCATGTAATATTCTAATTTAGTGAGCTTGTGGATTTGGAGTTTTCATGAGCTGTAAGCCATAATCATCGCACTTATGACAAATCACGTCTTGAACTATCTTGCTTTGCATGTAATGCGTCTATCTCATATATTAGTTTCCCCTTTTACATTGCCTTACTGAAATAAATGAATTTTTGCATGATATTCAAATTTTTCGAGTATCACCTGTACATACATACTGTGGCGAAACTGACCTCGCCACTGGGCATTGGAGAAGACTGATTGAAGCCTCCTGCCATGTGACTATGGCCCCTGGGATGTATTGCCCTTTAAAGACATGATTTGGGCATAATGGATTTGTGTTGTGCTGCTGCTGGCCCTTTAAGAACCATTTGGGGACATACTGTGGAGTTACTGTGTGGCCACTATTTCCTGTATCAGAGGCACATGGTGAGAACAATGGATGAAGCACATGGTGAGAATAATGGATGGCGGCCATTTTAACTCACAGACACTGTTTGGACTTTTCAACACGGTGCCATCTCGCCAGTATTTGGTGCACAGAGACATCGTGCAGTGGTTTTGGACTATACAACAGGGGACACCTTATACAGTAATTGTTTTTCATTTAGCCTGCATATGTTCTGTAAAATCTCCATTAAACTGTATCTTCCAAAGTACTGAACGGATCTGGGTGAATTTTGGATATGTGGTTCACCCAGACCCCCCGGTTCCAACTTTTTATGGGGTTATTGCATGTTTTGGGGTCCCTGTGATGTGTTTTATGAAACTGTATTTCTCTGTCAGTGATAATTAGATTACCCATTGTGTAAGGTAATTGTATCACAGGCAGAGGGGAGGATTTTGTGTGGGAGTGTCTGAGTGTATTGTACGTGTTATTGGTTGTTCTGTAAAACCCTGTGGGCAGTACTAAGTGTTACGGTACCCTCAGCATGAAATTCACAAACCGCCGTTTAGTGAATGCTCCCTGTTCGCAATGTATATCCAATACAATAATACGAACTGCAAGTAAGGGATTGCTGTAAAACTCACGAACGGGGTCCGTACGGGCACTTCACTTCACAAGCTCCAAACTCATGAATCGCCAATAGCAGCCAAACGCAGGTATCTCCCAAGCGGCTAATAATCCGATCCAGCAGTCTCTAGTTGTCGGTAATAAATCCCCCCAATAACGAGACCAAGCTTCGCATTGAGGCTAAAACAAGAACTGGCTTAACTGTGGGCTACCTGCCCGTATTTATGCAGGTCTCCCACTTGGTGGACACTCCCCTAGGGGACCAAATGGGAGACTGTGATAACAGATAGACATATGGCAGTTCAGGACCCACAGACACAAAATATTCCCAGCATGCAATAGTAATTCCTCCCCTCTGCCCTGGAGATAATTGAGAAGTAATTCAATTATCTCCAGGACAGAGGCAAATTGCCATTTTACATTCAACACATAAAACACAAAAAAATATATAACTTTACATTTGTCAAATGCTACCGATTCGTATCACGTATCCCCAGATAGCCTGGATCTGAGTGCATATTATTGGTGAATAGCACTCAGATCCCACACACATAGTTCAATTGCCATGGAGTCAAAGTCTATTACAGTTCTTCAGTATGCGATTGACTCCATGGGAAGGCTATCTGGGGTAAGTCCATTCGTGCCTTTAAACCTCCCAAATGGCTGGTGTTCGCACACTTCTGTAGATTGAGAAGGGAGGTCGACGGCTTCAGCGGTGTTCGGTTGAAAAAGTGTCTGTTTTCAGTTCCATGAAATAACCGTTGAACACCGCTGGTCTTTCGCATGGTTAAAATGGCCGCCGCCTCGTGGTCGACATACGAACGACGACCACCCTGTATTCAGTTTTAATTGAGAAGAGTCTGTGGTTAACCGCAATGTTCTAATTGGGATTAATAGGTTAACCAGCAGCACACTTCTCTTCTGGGTGGCCGTCCGTTCGACAGTTCCGTTCGGCAGGAAAGTACATTCACTAAAACAAAGGCATACGAACGGGTAAATTCATGCAAACGGCAAAACAGACGAATTCAGCAATCTTAGTCTATACAGATGGATCTGTCACACTAAGTTTGTGGATTGGGAATAAAAGAGGCTGTATGTGCCAGTCCAGGCAGTTCCTGCTTAACCCTCAAAGTGAAGTGTTGTCTCATTATTGGGGAAGGATTCATTGTATGCTGTTCCAGTTTTACTGCTAGGAGTCTAAACCCATCCATATGTTTTTTTCCTATTCAGCTGGTTATAGCATTCATATGCTTGAGAGTACTCATATGCTTCTCCGGTTCGGTGATTGTGGTGTCTGCCAGAGTGCTTGGAGTCCTCAGGAAACGCTAGGAGCATCCTTTAACAGAGGTACCCAGTTGGGGTGCCAGGTGATCCTTTACACATACATTCATGCATACAAAGAAAATCCAGATAGCACTCCCATATCTTGATAAAAATAAAACTTAGCTTTTGAATTGCCTTACATAAAAAAATTACAAAGTCAACATTTCAGTTTCATATGTACATACTTTCATCAGTACTAGCATATACAATACAAAAAAAAAACATATATACCCAACTACATACAAACAATCACCCCACATAGTGGTGCCATCAGTGGAATACATATAGGTGTTGCAGGGGTCGCAACTGCTCAAGGGGGCCCGGCCGCCCTGCAGACACCTGCGACTGGGTGCCCGCCACCATGTTTTGTGGCCCCGGTCCGTGCAGCAAACCGCGCCGCCGTTCAAGGGGTCCATCGGGTGGCCCATGCTGTTAGGGCCACCCGATGAGTATGGAAGTGACTGCCCCAGAGAGCCCACGCGGGAGGAAGTAAAGGAGGGAGTCAGAGTGGACCCTAGGACCACTGGACCTTAGGGAAAGTCACCCTTATGCACCTAAAAGGTAGGAAACAGGAGGGTGACTTAAATATTTTGTATGTGTGTGTGCTTGTTTGTATGTGTGTGTGTTTGTTTGTTTGTATGTGTGTGTGTATGTGTGATTCTGTCTGTGTGTATGTGTGTGTCTATGTATGTGAGACTGTGTTACAGTTTCCCCAGGCTAGCTGAGGGTTAGACCGCTTACCAAGGACCATCAACACCGCACCGGACACCATAAGCACTGCAGACCCCATGAACCGTCGCAGCTTGGTTGGGGTCTCGCCATCTCCTACCCACCCTGGACCTATGACAAGGCTCCAGGCTCCAGTGGGTGAACCTCTCTTCCTTCAGTGAGCAAAGCAGGAACAGGAACAAGCTCTTACAAAAGCTTATTGAAGCTAAGGGAGTATGAAGAGCATAGCAATCCCTGTAGTGATTATAGCTGTCCCTCCCCAAACACAAGTCCAGGCTGCGAGTTGAGGGTCAAGTAGAACTGAAGGTTTAATGGTACAGCTGCTTCTTTTATATAGTATTTCCCCACAAGGTTACCGCCCACGTGGACCTTGTGGGGCACAGGACATGTAATGCACAATCCAATAACATTGAACACTCCCAGTTACTGTACACAAACCCTCCCCTCTGCCTGTGATAAATTAACAAATACAATGGACTAACTCATTTACCACAGGCAGAAAATACACATTTTTACCCAACACATACTCTAAAACACCACATATCCCCACATTACATTATACATCCCTGGATAGCCCTAATCTGGATGAACAACATATCTAAAAATCACCCATACACACAGACAGACACACACACACACAACACACATATACATACAAAGAAACATACATACAGACTGTGATGAACTACACTTCACCACTGGCTTTTGGAGAGGCCTGCTTGCCAGCCTCTTGCAATTTGACTATGGCCCCTGGGATGTATTGCCGTTTAAAAACTCGATCTGGGCATTTTGGATTTTAAGCCACTGTTCCTGCCCCTTTAAATTTGTATTGGAAAAGATTTACACTTTCGAAATGGCACTTCGGAAACAGCCGAAGTGGCCACCATTTGTATGCTCGTACATGTTGCTGCTGCCATTTTGTTTAGGTGAATGCGGCCAGCGGTGTTTTGCTGTTGAGTTCATGGAACTCAAATCGGAAACACTACGGCATGAACACTGCTGAACTTTACCTTCTATGGAACTTTGACGGGAGTGGGACGGCGTTCGGCAATTCGAACACAACTTTAACATTGTGTATTTGCACGAACGGAAATTAGTATTGGATATAGACCGGCCACACAGCCTAAATCTGTGGAACTATTTTCGGCTTGAAAGTCATGCTTGCGGTCGGTCAAATGTGACTTCCATGGAACTTTTGAACCCCTGCTCTGATCTGGGTGACTTTTGGATATGTTGTTCACCCAAATCAGAGCTATTCAGAGATGCATAATTTATATGTTTGACTTTTGGGGTGTTTCTTGTCAGGATTACTAGTTGATCCAGCACGTAGAATTTTATCACATGACAGGAGGCTTCGTATTTTGCATAATCTTTCTTTACTAACTCCATAGCAGCAAAGAAAAGAGTGACATAACTGAGAACCAATCACAATGCAGTATAGAGTATAAGAGGTGTAACGTATGACATCATTTCCTCTTTTTTTCTTTGCTGCTCCATCACAAGATAAGTACAGACTTGGTTTTCCTCTCTGTCCTTACACTATTTGTCATCTATATCTAAGAACTATTGTCTAAATATTTCTATTACAATTACATTTATTCATTATGTTATTTTAAGTGCTTCTGTATTGTTACCTTTGGGGGCTCTTCCCCCCCACCCCTCTGGCTCTGGGACCTTTTCCACTGCTTTTATTTGGCTTACCCCTTTCAGGGAGTCTTAACGGCATTTTCGCCGTTTTCACCTATACTTCCTAGTGTCAGTTAAATTCGCGGGTTCTTTCCCGCCTTATCGTCATTCGCACGTTTTTTCGCGAACGGCACTTCTGTTCGCATAGACTTGTTCCCTTTGACGAACGCCTTGCGTTCGGCAATTCCCGCGAACGTCTCATATTAGGCGCTTGCATTCGTGCGTATTAGCCGAACGCTTCCGTTAGGCTGATTCGTACGCACGAACGCCCGCCGTTCGGGTAATTTTTGCCGCTCAAAAATCTAGGGGAGGTACTAAAACCTCCCATTTCCTACTACTTTCAGTCCGGCGGCCATTTTAAACGGCTACTACTATCCTGCTTACTACTCCAGCCTATTATTACTGCCAGAATACTCTGGAATACTCTTTGAACTCTGCAGCCTTATCAGCTCACTGTGGGACCAGTATCAGGTTAGTGCTTTGCACTTGGGGTTGGTCTCAGCCAGTGGGAATACCCTTATTCTGGCAGGGGTGAGCCCCCTTTTATGTGCTGCTGAAAGGACCTGTTTATGCAGGATTCCAAATTCCTGGGTGAGCCCCAGTGACAGCCCTCGCTTGACCTACCAGTCGCATAGCCCTTTCAGGTTAACCACTACCTATTCTACACCACCCCCTAGTCCCCAGGCCTCCCCATTTTGTGCCACAAGTACCACAAGTGCCCTCACACATATTCACCGGGTGAGCCCCGGGTGTGATTAACAACATGGAAGAATCCCAAAATCCCTCAGATCTCCAGGCCATGATTGCAGCAGCGGTTGCTGCATCCATGGAAAAATCTTTGGCTAAGTCGTTCCAATTGGAACAGGACGCATCTAAGCCCATTCCCAAACGGGCTCATTATGGGGCGGATTCGGAAGACTCCGATTCCTCCAGGGAACGCTCCCACCCCCCTAAGCGCCATTGGAAAGGCGAGGCTATGGGACCACGTAAATCCAAAGGAAAGGCCCCTGCTAAACGCAGACGAGACACAAGCAAATCATCCCAAAAACCCGCTCAGGTTTCCTCTGGGGAAGAGGACGCAGGTCCATCACACGCGTTAGCCGTGGTTGACGAATGGCAGGCAGCAGCCTCCGACCAGGAGGAATCCGACTACTCCGCTGCCAAATCGGACCCTTACTTTATAGGGGAACAGACCCTGGGTGAGCCCCAGGACTCCGGGACCACATCCCTAGACACCCCACAAGAGGGTTCAGAAATATTTTTGGACAACTCTGGCCTCCGAATGTTCGATTCTAGGAACATTCGCCATCCCCGTTCGGAAGAATGGACACCACCCGAACACTTGACCAGATTCATGCACTTCTGGCTCCGGAAGTCTCTGGACAAAGAAGTGAGAAAGCGTATGAGATCTGAATGTCCTCGCCCGAACCTACCAGATAAGGTAGCACACACCCCCGAATTCGACCCGCTCATGACCACATTCATGTCCCGCGGGGGTCGGGACCCACGCAAGGGTGTGGAACGTGGTTTCAAGGGAGCTCAGGACAAACTATTAGATGCCATCGGGCCTTTGGCGAGGATCATGGATATGGCAGATGATGCCTATGAAAGGGCTGATGACTTCTCCCCAGATATGGTGCGTGAGTGGGCACGAGATACCCGAGAGTGGGCACAAAGGTGCTTCTGTTTCCTCGGGAACACTAATGTGGCCCTCTCTTCGGAGAGGCGCCGAGCAGCACTTTTCAGAATCGATGACAAGCTTGTCGAACTGGGGGATAAAGAATTAGGCCCTTTGGCACAGGGCAAATTGTTTGGCGAGGCCTTCCTTACTGAGCTTAATAAGAGGGTCAACATATTCACTTCCCTCAATAAGGCACAAACATCAATGCGGAAAGTGTTCCGCGGCCACAACACCCGTGGTGTTTTTGGGAGGGCTGGTCGGCAGAGGGGCCGTGCCACCAGCCGCTTCTGGCCATCCGGCCCCCGCACAACCAGGTCGCAACCATTCTACACAGATCCATCTGCACGCCATCGATTCCATCAGTTCAGGGGATCGGAACGTGGCCGTGGCAGCCGAGGACGCTCCCGAGCGAGATTCTCCAACGGTAAGTTACCATTCTATACTACCTCTAACCCCTTGCCATATCGCAGGTCGTGTTTCTCTTTTTTTCCAGAATTGGGCAGACCTCTCCTCCGACACATGGATACTTCGGACGGTGCGGGGCTATCAAATAGAGTTCGAGACGAGGCCACTCCAACAGGCACCACCTCGCCCGATTCAGTTTTCACGGGCAGACGCTTCTTTGATAGACATGGAACTTCAGGACTTACACTCCAAGGGTGCCATCCAACCAGCTCCGGACTCAACCGGGTTCTACAGCAATATCTTCCTAGTCAGGAAGAAAACTGGGGAATTCCGTCCCGTCATCAACCTCAAGGAGCTCAATTCCTATGTGGTGTACCGCCACTTCAAAATGGAGGGTATCCATCTTCTCCGGGACCTACTGCGAGACAACGATTGGTTCACGCGTCTAGACCTAAAGGACGCATACCTTACCATACCGGTGCACGAAAGGAGCCGCTCATACCTCCGCTTCTACTGGCACGGGACACCTTGGCAATTCACCTGTCTCCCGTTCGGCCTCAGTTCGGCCCCATGGTGTTTCACCAAAATGATGAAGCCGGTAATGGCGAGACTAAGGGCCCAAGGCATAAGATGCATCGTCTACCTCGACGACATCTTGATATTCGACGAGGATGCAAGGACCCTAAAGAGACATACAGACTACGCCGTACACCTCCTCGACTCACTGGGTTTCGTTATCAACGGCCCCAAGTCATCACTGACTCCTGCTCAGTCGATCGAATTCCTTGGGTTCGAGATAGACTCAATATCGTGCACGCTACGCCTCCCGGCCGCAAAAATTGCCACCATCCGCAGAGAAATTCGGAAGGTACTTCGACTGACATCCATACCTTTACGTCTACTAGCACGAATCGTGGGCCTTCTCTCGTCATCCATCCAGGCCATCTTTCCTGGACCCCTGCATTACAGAGCCATGCAACGCCTCAAGACAAAGTTCCTTCGCAAAGACCCAACATACGACCAGCCGGTCCCCATGTCGGACGAGGTTCGGGAGGAACTGCACTGGTGGCTGAACTGCATGCAGGCTTGGAATGGCCGGGCGATATTCGGAAACCAACCAGACTTCATATTGGAGTCAGACGCCAGCCGCTCAGGTTGGGGAGCAACAGATGGCACCTCCTCCACGGGGGGAGTGTGGACTCCCCAAGAACTTTCGATGCACATCAACTGTCTGGAGCTCCTGGCGGGATCGTTCGCCATTCGCAGTCTGGCAAAAGAACGATCCAACTGCAGCATCCTTCTCCGGATGGACAACGTCTCGGCGGTAAGATACATCAACCGACTCGGAGGCACCCGCTCCCAAGCATTAGTAGAACTCACAAAGGAAATCTTCGATTATTGTCTGCCTCGCAACATCACGCTATTAGCGGAACACTTACCAGGAGAGACCAACACGACAGCAGATTGGTACTCACGCCACTGGAGGGACGCCAGCGACTGGCAACTAGACCCTCACGTTTTCACGATGCTAGATGCACAGAGGGGCCCCTTCTCCCTGGACTTATTCGCCTCCCGCAACAACCGTCAGACGAAGGACTTCTTCAGTTGGCTCCCAGATCCGGAGAGTCTAGCAACCGACGCGTTTCTGCAACAATGGCCACAACACGGGGCTTACGCCTTCCCTCCATTCTCAATGATTACGAGGGTTCTCCACCGAATCCGCAGGCAGAGGGTGATACTGACCCTCATCACACCTCTATGGCAAAGCCAACCATGGTTCCCGGATCTTCTGGAACTTTCGAACAAGGATCCCCTCCTCCTACCAGATACTCCATCCATTCTCTGAAACCCGATGGGACTACCCCATCCGCTGGTCCAGGAGGGCCGACTGCCCCTGGTGGCTTGGACTCTTTCAGGGGTTCCTGGCGAACCGAGGATTTATCGCAGGAAACTAGAGAGCTCCTATGGGACTCATGGGCGCCAGGAACAAGGAGGTGCTACTTATCAGCATGGCACTGCTGGACTACTTGGTGTCTGGGACGGGATCTCAATCCCTTTACGGCACCTATTCCCTCCATCATGAATTTCCTCACCTCTCTGTTCACAACCGGGAAGTCATACCGGTCCATTAACGTGATACGTTCAGCCATCTCAGCGGCTCATACGCCGACTCAAGGGACACCAGTGGGCCAGAACCCACTCATCTGTAGACTCCTCCGTTGGAAAGTGCGCCTTCGGCGCCCCCCGGAACCCAAATACTCGAGACTCTGGGACATTGGCATAGTCTTACAGTTTTTACGGGACTGGCCCCCTAATGAGAACTTATCACTCCGCCAGCTTACGGCAAAGTTCACCTTCCTACTCTGCCTAGTTTCCTTTCGTCGGGTGTCCGATGTACGCGCTTTCGATGCCGACTCATTTACCTTCTGCCCAGCGGGAGTAACCTTCCAGATCTCTAGACGCACGAAATCTGACTCTTCCTCTGTTTTTTACCCCTTTTTTCCCTCAGACCCACAACTCTGTGTGGTCTCTACTCTTCGTCGATACGTGGAAGCCACCGCGACGTTGCGGCCTACTTCCAATCGCCAACTTCTCATCTCTTACGTCCGCCCCTACGCTCCAGTCTCGGTTACTACGTTGGCCAGATGGGTTAGATGGCTATTAGCCCTCGCCGGGATAGACCAGGCTTTTGGTGCACACTCAGTCCGAGGGGCCGCGGCCTCTTCTGCCTACGCGGCGGGGGCCTCCCTTCCAGATATTTTACGAGCGGCGGACTGGACCAGAGAATCCACCTTTAGGACGTTCTATTTCCGTCCTCCATCTAATCCAGCTTTTGCTCTACTTACTCAGCGTTGAAATTGCAAAATACGAAGCCTCCTGTCATGTGATAAAATTGAAGATTATGCTAGCAAGTATTTTCCCACCCTGCTCTCTTTCGCTCTTCCCCA